TACAAGAATGAGGTTGAGAATCAACTTGGAAAAAAGATAAAGATGTTTAGAAGTGATAGAGGTGGTGAATACGAAATACCATTCGCTGAAATTTGTTCAGAACATGGTATTATTCACCAAACTACCGCTCCTTATTCACCTCAACAGAACGGTGTTGCTGAACGCAAAAACCGTACCTTAAAAGAAGTGATGAATGCTATGTTGATAAGTTCTGGTTTAACCCAGAATTTGTGGGGGGAAGCTTTGCTCTCTACTAATTATGTTCTCAACAAGGTACCTCAAAAGAAATCAAATGTGACACCTTATGAATTATGGAAAGGTCAAAAACCTTCCTATAAATTCTTAAAAGTGTGGGGGTGTTTAGCTAAGGTTGCGGTTCCTACTCCTAAGAAAGTTAAGATAGGACCAAAAACCTTTGATGGTATTTTCATAGGCTATGCACAGAATAGTAGTGCATATCGTTTTCTTGTGCATAAATCAGACATTCCTGATATCCATGTCAATACAATTATTGAGTCAAGGAATGCTTATTTCTTTGAGGATATATTTCCTTGCAAAAATCCTCTTAAAAGAAATTATGATACTGCTAATAGCAATATACAAGAGAATATAGACCAAGAGTCTATAGATGATGAAAATGAGGAAGAACCTAGACGTAGCAAAAGAGCTAGAACGTCCAAGTCATTCGGTTCTGACTTTCTGACATATATATTGGAGAATGAGCCACAAAGCTACAAGGAAGCTATGTCTTCTCCTGAAGCTAATTTATGGAAAGGAGCCATAAATAGTGAAATTGAATCCATCATGCAAAATCATACTTGGGAGCTGGTGGATCTTCCTCCTGGTACTAAACCTTTAGGGTATAAGTGGATTTTCAAGAGGAAGATGAAGCCTGATGGTTCAATTGAAAAATATAAAGCCCGACTTGTTGCTAAGGGATATAGGCAAAAAGAAGGCCTGGATTATTTTGATACATATTCACCAGTCACAAGAATAACATCCATTAGATTGTTACTAGCTATTGCAGCACTGCAAAACTTAGAAATACATCAAATGGATGTTAAGACTGCCTTCTTAAATGGTGAATTAGAGGAGGAAATCTATATGGAACAACCTGAAGGGTTTATAGTTCCAGGGAAAGAAAAGAAGGTGTGCAAACTTGTAAAATCCTTATATGGATTAAAACAAGCACCTAAACAATGGCATGAAAAATTTGACAAAGTGATGTTGTCAAATGGTTTTAAAATTAATGAGTGTGATAAATGTGTGTATGTGAAAAACACTCAAAATGGATATGTCATTGTGTGCCTATATGTGGATGATATGCTAATAATGGGTAGTAATGATGTAATAATCAAAACTACTAAAAAGATGTTGACCAAAAATTTTGATATGAAAGATTTAGGCATAGCTGATGTCATACTAGGAATTAAGATTTCTAGAACATCAGATGGTCTAGTATTATCTCAATCTCACTATATTGAGAAAATATTTAAAAAGTTTAATAAAAGGGGATAATAGTCTTGTAAAGACTCCTGTTGATGTAAATCTTCACTTATCGAAAAATACTGGTCCTAGCATATCACAACTTGAGTATTCTCGCATTATAAGAAGCTTAATGTATTTGACGAATTGCACACGACCAGACATAGCATACTCAGTTAATAAATTGAGTAGATATACTAGTAATCTAGGAAAGAACCATTGGAATGCAATAATTAGGGTTCTAAGGTATTTAAAATATACTATAAGTTATGGATTACATTATTCTAGATATCCAGCAGTACTTGAAGGATACAGTGATGCTAATTGGATATCAGATACAAAGGATTCTAAATCCACAAGTGGCTATGTCTTTACTATTGGAGGAGGTGCCATATCTTGAAAATCTTCAAAACAAACTTGTATTGCCAGATCCACTATGGAATCTGAATTTATTGCTTTGGATAAAGCAGGTGAAGAAGCTAAGTGGCTTCGTAATTTCTTAGAAGATATTCCAAATTGGCCTAGTCCGGTGCCCGCTATATGTATACATTGTGATAGTCAATCAGCAATTGGAAGGGCACAAAGTAATATGTACAACGGTAAGTCTCGACATATACGTCGACGACATAATACCGTTAGACAATTGCTCTCAAGTGGGATAATCTCAATAGATTATATCAGGTCAAAAGATAATTTAGCGGATCCGTTTACAAAAGGTTTGACAAGAGAACAAGTATATAGTTCATCGAGGGGAATGGGATTAAAGCCGAAAGCTAACGAGTCATCTTAATGGAAACCCAACCTAGTTGACTGGAGATCCCAAGATCTAGGTTCAAAGGGACAACAGAAATTCTGAATGGCTCACCAGAAGCACTGGGAAGATTCAATCTTCTACCCATTTCTATGATGAGACAGTGTTACCTACAGCGATGAATAGGATAAGCTATGCTTTTAATGACTCTTATACCTTGAAAATTCAAGTGGGGTATGGTAGGATACTCTTAATAAGAAGTCACCTATATGAGTGTGAAGTGGGGCCGCTTCTATTAGAACTTCTACGGCTAAGTTTTCTGGAGCACTCATGAAATACCAGGCGTTGTTCAGGGCCATATGAACACAACCGTGAGAACCGACTTTGTGTGGGAAGGAATTGTGTGTTTGCTATTGTCTTGGTTTACATCAATGGCTGAACAGTTCAAGACATAATGTTCACTGGTTAGCTAGTAAATCCGATAGTAATACACTAGGGAAGGTTCAAGGCCAAAAGCTACCTATCCCGATGCAGTAACTTTCCAATAGTACTCTCTATAGTGTCTGTATCTTCTCCTTTTGTAATCTGCGAAAATTTTCATTCATGTGGGGGATTGTTGGAAACGGCATTAGAAAACGCAAACTTTGGAAGGATTTTTAAAAAGATTCCGCTAAGAATTTTTTGCGAATCTATTGATGAGCGCGTTCCTCTCTGCGAGGAGATGAACGTGGTATATTTATTTTCTCAAATCCGTTTCCGGGTGAATGAGAAATTGGCTCCAAAGTAAGTGATTTATAAAGCCTAAATGGGTGTGAATAAAGTGGGAAATGCTTGTCCCACATCGAAAAAGTAGCAAAGCAACCTTGAGTATATATATGTCTAGTATGGGATTTGGGTTTGGGCCCAAGGGCACCCAAGTTTTTAAGAGGGGGAGGACCTAGGCTAGCCTGGATCCGAACCAATTACCACCCGCCCGACCCGACCCTGTCCGGGCTAGGGCGGGGCGGGGCTTGATTGTGAAATGGGTTTAACTTTTTACCCAAAGTTGGGATGGGCCTGTGTGGTTGTAATTTTATTTTGTTACTGGACTTATCAAAATGGGCCTGTTTACTGGGCTGAATTAATGGCCGAGTTGGATTATTTGCTTGCTGGACTGGACGAAATTAAAGGGCTGGGCTGGATCAGAATTAAAAGGATTCAGTTTTAAATTTTGAACCAAGAGTTGCACCCTTTACAAATTAAAAACCACCAACAGTTTTTTAATTCTGATTGGTCAACAATGGTTGCACCCATTCGGACTATGGGTGCACCCATTCAGAATAGGCACCAACAAGCCTATAAATACCCATCATTGGGTTCATTTCAATTCACACCAATTTCATAAATCTCTTCTCTTCTTCTGAATTTCTTCTTCTAATTCTTCTTTGTTCGGTTCAGCCACTGGTTTGGGTTCAACCTAAACTGGTTTGGATTGGGTTCGAACCTTGGTTTCCAAGTTTAGGTTCAATCTTGGTCTCCGAGTTAGGGTTCAATCCTGGTCTCCGAGTCTGAGTTCATCAGAGAGTACTACACCGAGCCGGTTCGCCTATTCCATTGGTTTGAAGTGCTACTACCAAAGGAAGAAAAGCCGTTGTATCCTGGGAGATAAACGCCGAAGAGTCCGTTAGCACCGTAGCGGGGCGTATCTGTCTTAAGGCTATAGAATTAAATTCTAGCCTCGACTTTATCAGGTTCTTTTATAGTTTTATTTTCTTGATATTAAACTATATAAATATATATATATATATAGATTATTATAATAAATATTATATTTACAAATAATATTTAAATAAATTATACTATAGTATATGATACATTATTTATTTTTTTTACAGAAGATGAGGACAATAAACATGGCCTAATAGAAATCTCAAAATCTATAATCATAAACAATGTAGTGTTTATATTATCTCTAAAAGTCATTTTTTTCTTTGTTTCTTTGAATAGCTTTTTGAATTTTGTGTGTGTGTGTGTGTGGTGGTAAGTATAATTTTTTCCAACTTTGATAAATTTTTTTCTCGATAGAAATGAACACTAATGTTCTTAATTTTATTTTTCTTCATCTAATTCTAAAAATTCATTGTAAAAATCTAAGTGACAGTGATTTGCCGGAGTTATGCATATTCTTATTCACCATTGTATACAAAACAATAATTATTTGATAAATAGATATTTGTGAATGATAGGGATTGGTGATTCAGTTGGAGTGAAAAGAAAGCATACAAAAGAGATTTTACAGTAAATGATAGGGATTGGTGATGATAGTTGTAGTGAGAAAGGAAGCATACAAAGAAAGAAAAAAAGAAAAATGGGGAAACGAAAGAGATTTTTTCTTGAGAGTAGACTTGAGTAGTAGAGATCAAAGAGGAGATAAAAAGGTGGAACCTATTACAATAGTTTAAAGTTAATTTTGTCATTTGATTTATGAATAAATAAAAGTGGAGGTATAATTTTGTTGTGCCAATAACAACTCTAGTAGTTCAAAAAAAAAAAAAAAAAAATGGCCATGTGAGGATAGTAATGTAAAAATATGAAAAATGTAGTAACAAGTGTAAATAGATTGTAATTGATAGCTCTCAGTCTCTATTTTAAATATTTGGGACCAACGCCCAACATCATCAATTCATAGTCATCATCGTCAGCCTTTGGCCCCATATTATCGGAATGCATTTAAGATCACAACCCCTTTTCATATCTATGTGGAGGAAACTAGCACCCGTCTAACCTCTCCTTTGTTTGGCTTTATGTGTAACGACGCCATATAAACAATTGAAGCAACAGTTTAAACCGAATCTTCACTTGCTCTTCCCCTTTTCCCGTGGGTATATCTTTGATTAATTCATAGAGTTATTATTATTATTTTATTTTTATTTAGTTATTTACTAGAATCAGATCAGGTCAAATCAATCTTTAATGTATTTATTTTTACCTTGTCACAGCTGTTGGCCTTCTCTTCGCAGCAGTTTCGTATAGGAAATTTTGAGAGAGGGGAATCATATTTAATGTAGATAGGGTGAACATAAACCTGGATTTCCTTTTCCTTTCTTTCCTTTCCTTCTGTTACAATTGTGCTAGAAGATGGAAGGACTACAGTTGAGCTAAGAAAAGCACTTACACAACAAGCTCTCAATTTTCTTCTACCAAAGGCAAGGGATAAACACCTCTGTTTCTCTCACTCTCTCTCTCTCTTCCACTTTCCCTCTCATATATAGGGGGTGGAGCTATATTGATTCTCAATGTTCATGTCTGCATTTGCACTCTACAATGAAAAATATAGCAACTTGTTACAGCGAACATGCCATAAAGGTATGTTCAAACCAGGCTTATGTCTCCCCCAACTTGAGCCCTTCAATCCAAGATTCAATTACATGTCTATACAAAGCCAAATTCAGCAACAAAAAGCATCTCCTCATCGCAATCACCTGGTGCAACCTCACAGGCCAAGGATTCACCATTGGTGTCTGTAAAGATTCTCACCAATTACGACAGATTCGAGGCAAGAAAGCATTTGAATCCTACGATTCCAAGATTGAAGTGTTTTGGGATCTAACCATGGCTAGGTATGATTCTGGACCCGAGCCGGTCAATGCGTTTTACGTGGTGGTATTGGTTGACTCAGAGCTAGCTCTGTTACTTGGAGACATGGATGAGGAACCAGATGTGAGAAAATGCACAATTGACATCCCAGTTGGGAAATTCTCGTTAGTTTCTCGCACTGAACATTTCTCAGGCGACTACTCCCTCTACTCAACCAAGGCTCAATTCTGTGAAACCGGGAGCTTTCATGATATTGTGATCAAGTGCATTGGAGAAGACAAGGGTGGTTCAAAGGATTCGGCATTGACTGTTTGTATTGACAAGAAGAATGTGATTCAAGTTAAGAGATTGAGATGGAATTTTCGCGGGAATCAGACGATTTTCGTTGATGGGTTGCTGGTGGATATGATGTGGGATGTGCATGATTGGTTCTTCAATTCAACATCAGGAGGGTATGCTGTGTTCATGTTCAGGACAAGAAGTGGATTGGATAGCAGATTGTGGTTGGAGGAAAACAATTTGGACCAAAAAGATCAAGAAAAAGTTGGGTTTTCTTTGCTGATTCGTGCCTGTAAGAACCCTGACTGATTCTCTGTTTTTTATTTTTTTATTTTCTCCTTTGATTTTTTTTATTTTTATTTTTATTTTATTTTATAGAATGGTTAATTTTTATAGTTACAGGATGATATGATATGGTTAACTTGGTGCGAAGAAAATTAGTTTGATATTTTTTTAAAAGATTGAAATTGTACACGAGACCTCTAAAATGGACTTTTACTTTGTCTCTCTCTTGTGAGAGAGGCAAAATTTCTTCTTTCGTATGTTACCAATGTCAACTAATGTTATTTCATCTCTTGGCATGTAGTGGCGGTGACGCTTAAGAGAGATTAATTACAATTCTTTTTTTAACTCTTTTGATTTGTTCAGCAGTCCTTTTAGAAAACTATTGTACCGGAGTAAATTATTTCCTTATTCTTCTTGAATTCTCACATAAATTATATATATATATATATATATATATATATATATATATATGTGCTAGAAATTAAGAAATAAGAAAGATTTTTTTTTACTGATTCCTCTAAGAATACTAAATCTTCAATAATAAGAAACAACATTAATTATTGAAAGTACTAATTCCTTCATTAAATTTTCAATACTCCTCCTCAAATTAGAGTATGAATGCCCAGCTTGCCAAACTGGCCACTGAGATGACGTATGAATGATGACGAGAGAAAAGAGAAGACGAAAAATAATACTACCACACACACCGACAGCTCAAACACAAGTCAACAAAAACCTGTTGGAGACATGGCAAAGGCGAAGAGCATGCCGAAGACCCAAACAAGTCACAAATAGTATCGAAAAATCCTTAACAACATTTCAAATGCTAAGGAAATACTCCAAAATAGGGATCCGAACTTAAGAAGAGAAATTAGGCTGTCGGAGAAAAATTAGTACTACTGTTTTTAATTTCAATTTTAAAATACCAATTCCTACCACCAAACATAACATTAGTATTTTTTGGCTGACAATATCAAGTTCATTTAGGAGCTCAATTCATTGGGTTTTGAATCCTATTCATGATCCATAAAACAGCCAAAAGCTTTAGTTTAATCTGAGGACGGTAGCTACAGAATTAATGAGGACGACCTGGCCTCTATTTCTCTCAAGGGGTTATCAACACTCACATGTATCTTCAAATCTCATTCTTAAGACAAACTTCCACTGTTAACCACCATATATGGAGCTTAAGATAGCAGTAGGGCTCCTGGAAATATACATACATGTATATATATACTTATTAAATTGGCCACACACTAATAAAAATAGGAAAGCACCAAAAGAAAAAGAAAGGGAAAAGATGCTCAAAGGGGATATCAAGAGAGGTGAAATTACTGGAAGGTTTAAGACCATGTGGTTCTAATCAATCACAACTTACTATGCAACCAAGTTTTATTTTACTTTTTGATTGCATGATAATTTGTGATTAGTCGGGATCATATGATCTCGGACCATCAAGAAATCGCGTGATACCTTGTGAACAGAAGACAAAGCCAAAGCCTTTCCTATTAAAAGACAAATGTGACACATAGCAAAAAGCTGAATAAATGACATATAGCAAAAAACTGAACAAAGCTTACACATTTAAAGCATAACATTTGGTGATATGTTACACGGTACTTGATCATTGGTCTCACAACCTTGTAATAATTTATCCTTTCCTAATAATGCGTATTATATGCTTAAAACTTCTACTCATAAATTATTTGTGTTGTGCTGTGTTGGTGATTTATTTGGTTAGATAGAAGAGATAAGATATTAAATGAAATTTCGTCTTTCTGATTTGATTTGTATGGGCAGGGAAAAATACAGAAAAGAAAAAAAATAAAAAAAAATAAAAAGACAGAAATCTGCAAAATATATGAAAAAATCTCAGTTAAAGCCGACACAAAGATTTTTCTTAAATGGTAAGCACAACTGGACGAATCATTTTCTTGCAAGTATCATCACAATATGAGGCAATTGTTAGAGGCATTTGTCTTTTCTCTCATGACCTGTTATTCACATCTTAGAAACAGTGTCATTTAATCTGTTTCTCTCACATTGATGCTAACGTGAACATAATCAAACGATTCAAATTTGTTCATACTGCTGTTGAGGATATGTATGCCGGTCGTCAGTCTGCCTAATGAAACTACAGGTTCAACCGTAAGAAATTCGGTAACATAATCCGAGTTTTACTCGATCCGTGTGGGAGTACTTTGCACAAATCCAATAAATTAGTAGGGACAAAATCCGGAACACCCGGTTGAAAAAAAAAACAAAAACACAAGGAGCTTAATTAACTGCTGTTCAAATAACTTTCCTAGGATAACGTATTAGCAATTTAGTAGATTTTATGTATCTTTACAGAGTTAGCAGTTAGCACCCCACCCTTATTTAGACTCCAGTCAGCAATTAGCAGTTTTTTACATTTTATTCATCTAGAACGATGTTATTAGCACCCTTATTTAGACTCCTGTCAGCAATTAGTAGTTTTGTAGTTTTTATTCATCTTTAACAATGTTAGCACCCTTATTTAGACTCAAGTCAGCAATTAGAAGTTTGAAAATAATGGTAATTAACCACTTGAGGATTACAATTTATGAACCCATACAATTGAAAAATCATGGAGTTAAGATTTAACAATATATCAAGATACAGCATCTTATTGAAAAAAATTAAGAAAAGTCTTAAAAGTAGAAGAAAAATTCCCTCCCAAAAAGATCAGCATATATAAAAAAACAGAACAGTGAGAAAATTAAAATTTTCAAAAGAATGGATACTGAAAAAACAATAGTGCTAATCTCTGGCAGAAGAGTGATTGGTGTGTTTATTCAAAACAGCTCCAAGTCTGGTACCTAAAAATTTCCATCATTCACTAAATTAAGGGCGTTATTAAACCATATAACAAGGCCCTTGACATATATCGGAAAAACTGTTGTAAATATGGATAATCAAAACTCACTCTAATTCCAGCTAAGCCGGATGGACCAAGGTTTATGGACCACCTTCGCAAAAGTGCATATGTAGTTTGGATTTTGTGGCTTAGTGACTGAAATCAATGGCTCACAACGTTGTACTCCCAACTGTGTCTACATCTTGATTTGTCTTGGAGGGAAAGAGGTATCGTGTTTCCTACACGACGTTCTATTACATAATAATTTAGTTGTGAAAAAAGAAGTTGGTGGGCTTCAACAGACACTCAGGGTCGTCTTCAAGTCGATTGTGAGCCATGTTATTGCTAATTCTCCAGCTAGTTGACCATGGACGTAAGCTAAGTGCTGAACCACACAAGTAATTTGGTTACGGTTTGCTTTGTCACCTTATTACTCTCCATTTCCTTTGATTTCACTCTTGCAACTATCTTTGGTTCTCTGCATCATTTCAAGCTGACTCTGCATTAATGTACACAACTTCGTTGTGTGCTGTCCTAGGGTGTAACAGCTTGGTAGTGCCTTCAGAAAGATAAAAAAAAAAAAATGGTCTTACTTAGCTTCCTCATTGTTGAAAAACCCTAAATATAGACTACAAGCCCCAAACACTCAAGCATAGAGCATCGATTCCAAAATCCCTCGATAGTCCTTCATTAAAGGATCAATCAACCAAATTATATGACCTCATTATGGTACTGAATATCAGTTGTGTATGGCTGCTTAAACTAACGAATGTCCACTATACAACAAACTTCTGCTCGTGCAGATCTCACCGTCAAACAAACCTCAACTCAAAACAAAACCTAATTAGATGATTGAACTTACATTGTAATCTAAAACGAGAGAAGATTATGTACAAAAGATGGATTTTGTGTTTTTGACACTTCTCACTGTTTTATGGATTCTGGGCAAGTAGTTTTCCATACTAACCAAGCTGAATTTCAAAATTTCAGAACTTCAACTGTGATTGATTTTCAATCCCGAATGGTGAAGTTCGATTATAAATTAAATGTATTACTGCATACATTTGAAGCAGAAAAACAAAAACAAAAAACTACTACTTATTGAAGCTTTCAATGTGGAAGCTTTACTAAAACCAAAGCTTTTTACTATGCAAGTGAACTGGAGAAATGATAACCAAAATGGTGTATTTTCTCGTGTGATTCAACGAAGTTAGAAGACCACCAAAGCATTTAATCTACTCACCTTTCAAAGCGAAAGGTGGATGGTTCAAATCTCGTCGGGAGTATTGTGGGAGTTATTGGCCTGAGAAATATATATATAGTTAGAAGCTTATTAAAATTGGCTTAACAAACCTGGGCAAACTTGTTAAGGCTATATTTGGAAGGTAACTTAAATCTACCAATTAATTTTAAAGTCGGATAAAACTAAAATTTTCATCTTCTGTTTCAACTTTCAAGTAATTTGAAAGTCAAAGTAAGTACTTGGCAGGTCTACCTAAATTTTAGGATATATAAGAAGGAGAATATGGGTTTGCGGGGAGGGGACTTTAATTTCTTAATATTCACACCTTTCTGAGGCATTTCATCAAACACTGCACAAGCATGATAGTTTCTATTTATCTCTACAATAATGTGATACATAACCCAATTCAGAAAATAAATATATGTAGAATTTGCAAGTCTTACAAATGGATCAAAAGATACCCAAAAATCGCTTTCATGAAACCGTACAGCCTACGCAGCACTACAAATGCCCAACCAACTTGTTCGGTGCTACAAACCCAACTCGCTACTTGACCGCCCTCGTCTCCAATGAAAATTGTTTTAGGAGAGAATATTCTTTCTATAGTAATTTCTCAAAATAGAATATTCTTTCTATAGTTTTTTTTTGTTAAAAAAAAATGATGGGTACATTTTATTTGGAGGTGTTGGTTAGAGGAGGTATGTGCAAAAAAAGGCATTTGCAAAATTTATGGACCGAAAATGGATACTTTGAAACACCTTTCGTGTGATTTTCATGTTGCGACTAAGATTTGGAGAGGTTGTGCACTAAAGGATTGAAGTGTTTTCGCAATAGGGATGCGTATGGAGGGAACGGTGATTGAATTTAAGTTATGTTGGACTATATGAAATTTGGGGGTTAAACTTAAAATTGGTGGAATTGAATAAAATTTTAAAAGGACAGTTGGCTGGCTAAATATAAAAGTTTAATTAATACATTTTTTCTATTTTCATGAAACTTTAGAACTTAATATTTTAGGACCAAATTAACCTTTAAAATTCTTAGGTCTTTATTTTCTTTCTATTTGTATATATTAAACAATTAAAAAAACAAAAAAAAGAATGAAGATAATATATATGTGTATACAGACATGAAAGGAAATAATTTAAAATGGTAAACAAAGTTAAGTGTTAAAAGTTAAGTACTCTGTATTAATTATACCTTTTATGATTGGGTTTTCAACCAATAAGGAAAGCCACTCTGAAGTCGCTTAGTCCTCAAATTTTAATTTAATTTTATGAACTACTTTTCTCGAATTTCATTTATCCCAATTTCAAAATTCTAATACCAGATGGTAAAGATGTCCATAGTTCATTCATGGAATGGTTGGTATATTTGGAAGTCTTGTAAAGTGTTAGGAGAAGCTATTATTGGTTAAAGCCTTAGAGATCTTATTTTTTAAAAAAACCTATTCTTACATACAATGTAAAATCATCTTGGTTAAAGCCTTAGAGAGCTTATTTTCTTCATAACTTGAGAAAAAGTTATATGGATATTAAAAATTTATGGGTCAAGCCAAAATATGCTACCACTACTATTATTAATTTACATTCAGATTAAATTAAACATAGATGCTTATCATGCCTAATGGGACAGTGTTTTAATAATAAATTAATAAGGGGCATGTGTGATGATGATGCCTGATCTGAGATGTAAACATAATTTATTAAAATTATTTTTCTTATTATGCTTAACATAACTTTTTGGGTCACTTTCTGGACAGAATTGGAAATGGATTATAATAGGTTTATTTATTTATTTATTATTATTATTATTTTATGCAGTAGGTTTTTTATAATAGGCTGAAATAGGTTTTTTATGCAGTAGTTCTTCTTCAGATTTTGATTTTATCGGTTGGTCCTAGTTGTGTCATGCTTGGTAAGTTGGTCACTTGGTGATAGTTGTGAAATTATAATCAGAGTGATGAGACATTTGAACATCATCACCAAAGTAACGCCCAAATTTTTTCAACCATTGTGTATGGCATTGGTCATTTTCATTGTCGTGTCACTGTAAATAAATTTCAATGTGCCTTTCTGGTAAATTATTCAATTTGTGCCAATGACTACTTACATAAATGGCCAAATTTAATTCTTTACATAAGAAAATATAATTGACGCAAGTAAACCGGAAAACAATAAAGTTAAGAAGCACAAAATGTCTAAACGTTTTTTTAATAAAAAAAATTAAATGTAATTGAAAGTGATTATATTTACAATCTCTAAAGTATTGTATGTAATTTGGTGTTTATGGAACTAATTTAAATTTATGAATCAAAGCTCGATTGTAATATAAAAAATGAAGTCATTACTGCGGGCACAGAAAGTCTAAAAAATTACCCATCTTTCATTATAATCTTTTTAAATTTTGTGTACAATAATCATTTCTATTTATAGGTAAGTGGAAAAAAACTTGTCCCTAAATAATTTGAGATTTTTTTTACAAATATTCTTACTCTGCAAATACTTTACAATAAAGGAAAAAACTTGTATTTAAATAATACGAAAAAAAGTCAAATACAAATATGATAACAACTTCTTACTCCAATATAGTAAACATACCAAATTGTCAATAGTCCAATTGGTACAAACCTAGTTTGCTTAATTTTTTACAAAAAAATAATAATAGAAAAATAATAAAATAAAATTTAACCTTAGAGATTTTTTTTACAATTATTTTTACTTTGCAAATATTTTACAATAAAGAAAAAAACTTGTACTTAAAGAATACAAAGAAAGTCAAATACAAATATGGTAACAACTTGTTACTCAAATATAGTAACATTAACATACCAAATGGTCAATAGCTTAGCTGGTACAAACTTAATCTGCTTAATTTTTCAAAAATAAAATAAAAAATATTAATGTTAGAGACTTTTTTTTACTAAGTATTTTTAGTGTGCGAGTATTTTACAATAAAGGAAAAAACTTGTACTTAAAGAATACAAAAAAGGTCAAATACAAATATGGTAACAACTTGGTACTTAAATATAATAACATTAACGTACTAAATGAACAATAGTCCAACCGACATATATGAGCCTGCTTCATAAAATAGTTCTCAAGAATTCAAATATCATAAAACTATTTTTAAAGAATTACAAAAGACAATTATATAAATTTTTTTATAATTGAATTCTCATAAAATAATTTTTAAAAAATTAAACCAAACAAAACTTTTGTTACACTATTCTTGAAGTTAAAAATCAAACAGACCCTATATTTTTTGACCATCTAATTTAGTTGGTTTGGAGAGAGTCTATAATTGGTAACAGTGGGTATTTATTTTAATAAAAGGCAATTATTAGTACTAAAAGGGCAGTTGGTATGAGGCAAGCATGCGACATGATGCATGAACTACTTAATAAAATTGACTTTTATTTATTTAGTTATTTATTTTTCAAAATGAGGATTTTCCATTTGTTCTTATTAAAGTCCCTCGTGCTCATGTATGTCATGTGTGTTCCAATATATTGCATATTTAAACGGTTGTCATCAAATGGCCAATCTCCATCTCAATGTTTGACTTGCCGGTTCACTGCAATTTTTCGATATGTATCACATCATGTGTCATTCGTGTTTTCATTACTACCAATTCTCTCTCCACAACTAATATTTTACCGCAACTAATATTTTACCACATTTGTTCTTTTTTATTATTATTTTTTCATTGCGCACACATATTATGTGTGAACCGACTAACTATTGTGTAAAATACTAAAAGACCACGGACAGTTAATTTTTTGATTTTATTTATTTATTTATTTTTTTGAACTCTAATAATTGTAATAGAAAAAAGAAGAAGAAGAACAGAGAATTGGTTATAAGTGATTTATTTATTTTAAAGAGTTGAATAATGATGTCGGACTCTATTCATTCATTGAAATTACAATAAAAAGTGATAAGTTTTGTGTCAATTTATTTTTAATTAATAAAGAAGAGAATTGGTTTATAAGAGAAGCTTCTTTTTTTTCTTTCCAAAAAGTTGAACACGATGATGTTTTTGTCAAAGAGATCACAATGAAAATAAATAGCTGACTGACTAATGGATGTACACGCTTATCAGAATAATAGACGACTTATCTAAAATTGACATGTGGTCCAATTTTGTTAGCAGCGTATAATAAGATTTTAAAAGACAACGTCATTTATTAATGGGCACTTTTGTAATTTAAAATTAGGGATCAGAGGTGTTATTTACAAAAAAAAAAAGAAAAAAAGAAAAAAAAAAAATAATAATAAAAAAAAAAAGAAAAAAAAAAAATAGTAACCGAGGAAGAAGAGTATAGAAAGGTTAGAGTTGAGAGAAATACAGGTATTAGTGTAAAGTTTTTTTAGAAGATAACAAAACTAGAAGCATAAGGACCCAACCCGCAGTTTTAGGTGTGCAGCTCACGGTTTTTAGTATGCTCCACCAACCACTCACTTTTTCTGTATCACCAAAACTCACTCCTCATCCCCACAGGTTTCTGGTGCCTTTTTTTTTTTTTTTTTTAATTAATATATATAAATACACATACATAAAAGTTCCAAGGCAGGCCTTCTTTTTTCTCAGTTTTGACCTTACCATCCCACCCACCCACCCACCAATTGGTCAGCTTCTGGTTTTGGTGTAAGCTTTGTAAGTTTCCCTTCTCTTTTCCCTTAATTACCTGTTATACCCTTCTCAGTTCCACATTGTCCCACACCTCTTGGGCCCATCTGTCCCCTCCAGCCCCAAATCTAAGTCACCCTCAACTTATTAGGTTTTTTTATTAACAGAGGATGGACAGAACAGGGAAAAATCAAACCTAAGAAGTCTCTTTTGTTAGGCTCATAGTAATTGACAAATTCCTCTACCCTTTTGTAATTAGTTGTACTAATAGTTGATAATTCAAATTATATGTTCTGTTCAGCAGAAAAAAAAAAAAATAAAAAAAAATAAAATAAATTGGAAGGAAGGCCTAAGTGATGGATGACATCATCCTTGTATTTTCATTCTTTTATTCAGTTATATAAAACTGAAAAAAATAAGTTTATAATTTGTTATATTCATTAAGATAAAAGAAAAACTAAATTTTAACTATTTTTACAATTATATTCAATAATATTTATAATATTATAATTTATAGAGATAGTACTGTAATTTAAAATTTGTATAATTTTTAAAAAAATTTATTTTAAAATTTTTATAATAATACACTTATTTTCCCTTTTTTATTGTCCATTTTTTGGCTTCTATTTTCTTTCTTTTCTTTCCTTGTATCATTTCTATCGAATAAAAGAAATAAATTTTTTCTTTCCTATTTTTTCTCCGAACCTCTTTTTTGTTTTTTTCCTACTGCATTAAGAAAAGTATTGTTCTAGAACTTGTGATTAACATAAATTACATAACATGAATTTAATTAAAGTGGGCAACATACAACGCAGGGGCCCAAAAAGAGGGTAAAATAGTAAAAGGGCAAAAACAACCTGCCTAAAACCGGTTTCGTGCAAAAAAAGGCAAGAGTGGCTATCGACAATCCCGATGCGACAATCTCGATGCCACTCTGTACACTTGCCTTTCTTGACTCGTCTCCCCTCTTTTAAAACCCAACCCTAACCCCCCATTATTTTCCGTAGTTTCCCTTTTCTCTCTCTAAAAACTCTCTCTAAACTTTCTTCATCGTCCTCAGTACCTGCCTCGCAATGTCTTGCTACAAGGGCAAATATCATGGTAAATTCCCATCCAATTCCTGAATTTTCTTTAGGGTTTAAAATATTTGGCTGATCAAGTTCGATTTGTATGCTTATATCGTATAGAGTAATCTGTTATTTATTAGATGTGTTGATTTGGAGAACTCTTATTTTCCTTTTTTTTGTTTTCTTTCAGATCTGTATTATATGTTCGTTGTCTTTATTTATATGTATTTTTTTTTTTTGGGTAAGGTTCTTCTTTATTGATATGCAGGGGTTCAGTTGTAAAGATTTTTCTTGAGATCAAGTAAATAAGGACAAAATATCTCAACTGTTATATTGAATATATGAGTCGCGTGGATCTGTTCTTACGATCACGATTAATGATTAATGCCCTTGTCCTGTCATAAAAAATTTTAGTTGCGTTATTTAATTTATAGTTTCTCTGTTTACTGAACAGATTTATCTAGATCGTACTATCTGGTTTGTATGCTTGTGTTTTGGGGTTGATTTCTCATGTTATATTAGTTGTAACTAATTTGCGTCTTCAACTAAGAAATCTTAAATTTTGAGCTGGTTTAAGGTTAATAATTTTACACTAAATTCAATGTATATTGTAAGAATTAAGCAATATGGGAATATTATATGATCTCTGTCTCTTGGTTTTGGCTTTTAGTTCTTCAATTGATTTGTCAACACCGAGATCTTACTTATCGTCTTAATTTTTTTCTTCTTTTATTTTGTAATTTTTCACTCTAGATCAAATGATATGGTAACACCCAGATTCTACTTATCCACCAATTTTAAGATCTATATTTATAGATCAAATTATTTATGAACCCCCAGATCTTAATTTTTTGTTACTTTGATATTGTAATTTTCCACTCTGAATGTGAAATACTTTTGTTAATGTAGATTAGTTAGTCACAATGTGAATCTTTGTAGTAATTGGATAATACAGAAGAATTTTGAATGATCTTCAAATATATGCCTTGAATAAGACTATTTGGCAGTGATTATTAGATTAATTTGTTTCTCTTTTATTCATGAAATTCTCAAAAATTACCCTACTGGTTTCGTTCCTTTAGGCTTAAGGTTTTTTAGTTGTAATTATATGGGTACTTGTTTCGTTCCTCTTGGTTTTGGCATTTTAAATAATTGTTTGTTGCAGAATGTTCTAGAAGTTCTCCTGTTTGTTTCTTAATCTCAGTCCCATTTATGTTAAATATTAAGGAAAAAATTGGCTTTTCTCAAGCAATACATTCTCCTTGTCTGTTACTGTATCTGGTTTATTAATCTTATGGTCTTAGCTCAAATTCTTATTTGTGAATGTCTATTTATGTGTTTATTTTGCTCTCTGGTTAAAGTATAATCAACTCTTTTCCATTTGCAGATGAGCTCATTGCCAATGCTACCTACATTGGTACTCCTGGAAAGGGTATCCTTGCTGCCGACGAGTCAACTGGCACAATTGGCAAGCGCCTTTCCAGCATCAATGTTGAGAATGTTGAGTCCAACAGGCGGGCCCTTCGTGAGCTCCTTTTCTGCACCCCTGGTGCTCTTCAATACCTCAGTGGAGTAATCCTCTTTGAGGAAACACTCTACCAGAAGACTGCTGCAGGTATCTTATGACAAATCTATATGACACTCTACCAGGCTCACTTATTGAAGTTGTTAATTAGGCATATATAGAACGGTCTTCATGCATTCTAAACATCCAGTTCTATCTTCAAAATTTTGATATTGTTGTTATTTTTTAATTATATTTTTCTCCTTAACATTTAATATGTCTTTACTAATGAAAATTCATATTGTTATTGTGCTGTGCTGTGCAGGCAAGCCCTTTGTTGATGTCCTGAAGGAAGGTGGTGTCCTTCCTGGTATCAAGGTCGACAAGGGCACTGTTGAGCTTGCTGGAACTAATGGTGAGACAACCACCCAAGGTCTTGATGGCCTTGCCCAGCGCTGCCAAAAGTACTATGAGGCTGGTGCTAGGTTTGCTAAATGGCGTGCTGTGCTCAAGATTGGCCCCAACGAGCCATCTCAGCTGGCTATCAATGAAAATGCCAATGGTTTGGCTCGTTATGCCATCATCTGCCAGGAGAATGGCCTTGTCCCAATTGTGGAGCCTGAGATCTTGGTGGATGGCCCCCATGACATTAAGAAGTGTGCTGATGTCACAGAACGTGTTCTTGCTGCATGCTACAAGGCACTCAATGACCACCATGTCTTGCTCGAAGGAACTCTATTGAAGCCCAACATGGTAACCCCTGGATCAGATTCTGCCAAGGTTGCACCAGAGGTTGTAGCTGAATATACAGTTCGTGCCCTTCAGAGGACAATGCCTTGTGCAGTTCCTGCTGTGGTGTTCTTGTCTGGTGGTCAGAGTGAGGAACAGGCTACCATTCACCTCAATGCCATGAACAAGCTGAAGGGAAAGAAGCCATGGACTCTCACCTTCTCTTTCGGACGTGCTCTTCAGCAGAGCACCCTCAAGGCATGGGCAGGAAAGGAGGAAAATGTGAAGAAGGCTCAGGCTGCATTCCTTACCAGGTGCAAGGCTAACTCAGAGGCAACCCTTGGAACTTACCAGGGCAGTGGTACACTGAGTGAGGGTGCATCAGAGAGCCTCCACGTCAAGGACTACAAGTACTAATCAATGTTATGGTTTTCACCAAGTCTCTGTTTTTTTGTTGTTCAGAACAAGAGTATATGGAAGTATGGTATGTGGCTACCAAGAGTGTTTTTCTCGGGCATAGGGTTAGGCTCCTCTCAATTTTCTTTCTGATCTAAGGTATAATATAGATTGGTGGCATAATAAGCTTGAGGAACGTGGTTTTTAAATTGGTGATTTGTCCTTCTATTATTTCAGAATCTTAAATGTTTTTATTTGAAACGGTTATTAATGATTGAAATGTATCCTATCTTTTACTTCTTCATTGTGGTGTTGTGTTGATTTATTAGGTGTTGTGCTTCACCATCCAAAGTGATCATAAGAAAACGATTTGCATAGATTTTTCTAGTGCTTGTTTCTATTGAATCACTCCGCACAAATTTACAATCTGTGCAGGGTGCTCTTATGACGATGACTGCCCCCAAATTTCTTATTGGTGGTATAATTGTACCTCTCGATTATTAATTATTCAAGAAGGTTCCTCCCCTCTCCTAGAACATTCAATCTATGCAGAGTCTCTTTTGATTTTTCTTCGTTGCCGGTTAAATTGATTTTTATCTGTGGATTGTCTAATTTTCATGGCTGTAATGGTTCGACTGGTAGTAGAACTTGATAACAAATTGGTTTTATATTCCGAAAAAGAAAATTGATTTGAAAAGCTTTTAGGCTGTGTAGGAAATTGATTTGAAAAGGCTTTTGGACTGTGTTTGGCTGCATTAAATTGGAAGCTTAAAATTGGAGATAATTTTCGTTCATTTTTGCAAGTTACTTTTATTTAATTTCACAAATTTCAATTTTAAAGCACAGAACACAGCCTTAGGTACTATTAGATTGTTTGGATTGTAATATATTTTCAGGAACTTTTATGACTCTTAATAGATCAATGCTATGCTCCCCCACTTTTATGACAAGCAAACTTTCCACATCTAGTACAGGAATATTTTTGTGTACTTATTAATATTTTATATTTTTGTTATACTTTATTACTATATAGAAACTTTTCAAAATTACAAAAAAGAAAAGAAAAAGTAAATAACAATAATAATATATAATACAAAAACAAAAAACCTTTCAGCTGTTAACTGGTCGTGAAAGGCAAGCAAGGGTTATGGGCTTCTGTATCAGTTTTACATTGACAGCAAGAATCACTAGCCCAATTTTAGGCCCAAATATGACTTTTCCTATATACTGGCAATGTTTAGCAATCTCCAATTCTCGATTTGATTATGTTGGAGTAAGAATTTAAAATAAAAAATATATAATTAATGTCAACTAATTCTTTCGCTCTACTGATTAATTGAACCAGTAGAACAAGTCAATCCAAGAGTTAATAAAAATTTTACCCCGTCACTAACCAAAATTATATTCTGGAGTCCAATCCATCCCAAACTTGGTGGTTAAACTCTGCGAAAAAATAGCTAGAATGATAAAAAGTTTAACACCTCTCATTCTTATTAGTTTTTCATATTGAAAAAGAAAAAATTCAAAATGAAAAAGGTCGTTTTATATAACACAACTGTAAACACTCATAGAACATATTTATTCCGAAGATGCAACACCATTAGGTAGGGATCGAACACGTTTTTCATCTCTGTTGCATTCCCAATCTGCAACATTTTCGATCTAAAGACTGGATTTAACAGTATTTTATAGTGTTGGATGATCAAAATATTTTATTCAAAAAAAGTAGAGCAAGAGTTGTTTCGAAATCCTCCATTAATACTGATTTGTTCCCCCCTAGGAGATTGTTTGATTTGTTCCCCTTAGGTGCAATGTCCTTTGAACCACCTGGGATTCTGATAATAGAAGGGGGGATCCATGGCATCTATTTCTGGCAAAACCTACTGTAGACAAGGCATAAAGCCTGGGTTTCCAGTTTGGGACTCTGGGAAAACTTGAGTTAGAGGAAAAAGGCAATGCCAATGCCTCAGTTACTTGTCAAATCCTTGTCATCACCATCTCCAAATGTCTCCTCCTACTAAAATACTACTGTATTATTTAATTTTAGATTTCCAAAATTGTTAGTTAACTTTGACTTATTCTAATGGACTTGAACTGACAATAAACGCTTCTGGTATATTGGCCTTGGGCCAAGCAAAGCTGGCCTCAGATCTATCAGGTTTCATGGAAGAAGGAAAAAAGGAGAAGATGAAAAAAGCTGATAAAAAAAAAGCCCTCAGTACTTCACTGTCATTAATGCACTGTAATGTCTCACCATTGTTTTGGCTGCCTCTTCCAGAGTGGGAAGCTTCTTTACTCCTTCCAAAGTTCTGCAAACTCAGTGTAGTATCCATAATACATACATACATACATACATACATACATATATATATATATATATATATATATATATATATATGTATATAAGACACATGCACCCACAACTCATAGTCATGTTTCATATAATTCACAATAGATTATGAGTATGCAACTAGCTGTTTCTGCCCACATGCACGAAGGATAGAATTCCAAACTTCCCTTTTATTAGAAAGTTACAAAAAGATGATCTATCTCCTTCTCTTTTATTAAACAAGAATTGGATGTTGATATTCTAATCAATTTGAGATCAGTTTTGAAGCCATCCCTTTTTTTTCTTTTTTTTTTTCTTTTTCAAGAAAGAAAAAGACTGACATATTTATCAATAGTTTCTTTGTAATATTCATGGTGAAAACTTGAAAGAAAAATCGTTTTATTCATTTTTACTGAATCATTCTCTTAAATTCTAGTTTCTTGGATTATATTGTTTGGATTTTTGTTTAGAATAAAAAGATCGTTAAATGAATATAATATAGCAGACACTTGTAGAATATGCAAGATATATATATATATATATATATCAAGAAAAATGTAGTCTTAATTTAAATTGTCAACAAGATTCCAAATTGGACAATCCAGTTGGTTGAAAAAAATCCTTCTAGATTGTCAACAAAATAACTTTTGACTGGAACAATCTTGCTGTTAAGAAAGAATCAATTTAATTTATCAATCAACACGCTTAACAATCTCTTGAGAAGGAGAAAAAGAGAGGAAGAGAAATTCAATTTGATCACTTGTTCAACATGGCTTCATAATGCCTCACATGATACTTCTAGTCTCCTCATTATTTATAACTCCCAATCATTTTCCACAGCCATCCAATTTCTTACCTTAAATTAAATTCTTCAAGACTTGAAATATTCTAGAACATTCTAAATTTTAAGTAATTGTAAGCAAACAATTCCTAACACATACAATAAACTATAAATTCCAATATATATATATATATATATATTCTTTTTTTAACCAACTATAAATACCAATTAAGCAGACAATTGTTATCTATAATCATACTAGCTATGACATATATATCACTTCAAATATGACCCATAATATATAAGTTTACTTTCCAAAACTAGCATCCCTATACCAAGCACACCGATTTTAATCTAGACTAGCGATTTCAGTGTATTTTGGCCTACTCCTCATTCACTAGTGTTATGTGCCAATCTGTTTAGTAAATAAAGCTGAAAATGTAGTTCACCTTAGAGAAGAACTAAGAATCCCATACCAAAGTACACTGCAGATTCATCCTCATTGACTGTAAGTAGGAAAACTTTGTCTTAAAAGAACAACATCTGGACTTGTATCGATGTTCTCATGTTATATATATATATCTATAATATTCGAACAGTGGATGTTCTCATATTTAAAATTAAAAAAATATTGGTCCTATTGTATTGTTCCGAAATCTGAGAGAGAAGTGATGTTCTCATATTTGAAATAATTACTAGACTATTGGACGTCATTGCCTTGTTATGAAATCTGAGAAATAAGTGAAGAGCTATTTCATGATATAAACCTTTCTAATACTATGTTTGGAAGCACCCAAACTAGATTTGGAATTGAAATTTAGTTTAATATTTTTTAAAAAAAATCGGTGCTCTCAAATGCGAAGTTTATTTAGGATTTGTTATAGCAATTAATGTTCTAAACAATCTCATAATTGATGATCTAAATTAATTATAACAAGTATTTTTTAACTTACAATAAAGCTCTAAGTTTCACCTCCTCAATTCTTCCCTCACCCCACCCTCCCACAAGATGAAAATGCAAATCCTGGTACTTCATTCCATGCTCATGCATATTATTCTGGTTGCCCTAAAATGAACTTATAAATAAAAGAACAACAACGTCCAAGCCTTTTCCTACTTATTTGGGATCGCTATATGAATAATATATTTCTATTCTGCTCTTTTTAAGGTCATAACTTCAATCAATACACATCTTATTATATATCTTTATTTACTAATCCTGTCCACGTTAACTTGGTGTTCCTCTTCTTATAGTACTATCCTCAATGTGGACTATCTCATTTTTCCTAACCGACGCACTTAAACGTCTTCTTTGTACATTTTCGAACTATCTTAACCAATTTTCTCTTCAATTGGTGCTACTCCAACCATTAGGCTTTCAAATCAAATAAGACAACTCAAAAAAAAAATTGAAAAAAAAAATACAGAAGCAAGCTAGAAATGTAAGAAGTACCACAATTAATTACACCAATTAATTGCATGCACAAAGGTTGATTTTACACAAAAAGAAGAAGCATACAAAAGAAAGGATGCAAATCAACAATATTTAAGAGCAGTAGTACAACTACCATTTCCTATTAAACTCAACAATAAACACCCATTTATGTTGTGTCCATCATCTAGGAATCATAAAACATCAATTCCTATACATGAACCCCAGTTAGCTACTTGCATAAACACATTACTTCAATCTCATATCTTGAGCACTGTCAGAAATCTTACCTCCCAAGAAAGTCAACAACTTTGTCTTCCCATTAATCCCTCAACAAATTGCATGTCATGTGGTTCTTTAATCAAGTACTTAATGGTTCTTTCCCTTGCTGTGCTTCAAACCATAATTCTCCCATAAATTCCCACCATCACCCATCAAGAGCCTAAAGCAGCTATCATGCATGGCATTGCCAGTATTCGAGTTAGGCGGCGAAGCACTTTCATTGGTTGCAAATCGCGTCGTCTGTGGCCCTTCTTGTTCATTGATTTCACAGTAGGCTCCTCCTTGATTGTATATAAGTTCATGGTTAGGAAAGTAACAACAGTTTCTGGAATTCTCTTTGCGTTTCTTGTTGCACTCTTTGGTGGTTTTCCTTAGATAACTGTTGATGCTATCCCACTTGTCTTTGCACATCAAAGCACTCCTATCATACCCCAAATAAGCCATCTTTGCTGCTATTTCCTCCCAAAGGATCTCTTCTATACACCCACTTTGTTGAAACCTTGATTCCATCAGATCTCTCAATTGCATTAGTTTTGTAATCTCACATTCTGGCCAGCTATGATCAGCATTCACAATGTTAGTGATTGTTTCACTTCCATTCTCATTAATATTCTGGTTATCTTTAAGGCTCCGAAGCTCGGCCTCCAATAGGTCTTTCCCTGTTAACTTCTGCAAGGCCTCCATTAAAGCCGCGTCGCGAGCTTCAATCCAGGCTCTCTCATTAGCCCAGAACTTGTGCTCTCTGTCAATCCTAACTGCCTCTTTTTTCCTCCATTCTTCCTCTCTCATTAACCTCTCCTCTTCCTTTCTTTCGATACTCTTCATCATTTTCTCCAACCAATCCTCTTGTTTCTCCATTAGCTTCCTCATCTGCGCGTCAATGAAGTCGCTAATCTTCGCCTTCCAGCTCCTTTTACCTCTTCTCATCTTCCTCTTTTCCGTCAAATCAATGTCCTTTAACGCGGCAGCATTGTTAGCATCATTGTCATCGGAGTAAGAGGAATTGAATTCGGAGGAGCTAGAGAGGCTAAGGCTTTCAGTGAGCTTTGGAGCTTGAAATGCTTCTTGATTAGAGATTGTGGTGGTGGTACTTGCATTATGAAATCGAAAACTACTGTTACCGACGAGATGGGTGTCTGAGACTGAGGATGGATTGCTAGTTTCACCGTAGAGAGCTTCAAGCTGCCGGAAGAATCTATAATGCTTTCCATCTTGTCTCCCAGCCTTTCCATCCTTGGTTTTCTTGTAGTATTTGTACAGGTTCTCAAACTTCTCTCTGCATTTCTTCCCACTCCTTTGATACCCATGTTCTTCATACATTATCCTGTAGATATGAAAATGAATCAGAAGAAAATTGAGGACAATAAATTGCCTAGTGAAGTGACACAAGTTAGGGCTGCTGTTATGTGTGAAAATGGTTTGAAGTTAGCTAGCTAGGCACCCTAGAATTTGTGCCTTATAATCCCAAAGTCAATTCAAATCCTTAATTAAATACTAATTTAATGAAACTGTATATCATCTTTGCAAATGATTATGCAGTGTTTTTCACCCAAAAAAAAGAGGGAGGGAGGAAGAGAGAGAAAAACACTGCATAATCACTTATACAGTTTCTTGAATTAATGCAGTATTAATCAAATATCTAAGTAGCATTCCTATTTGGCGGGTAGAGAGTTCTTTTACATCTAATTAGGCGGAGCTATATCATGACTAAATGATGATGCCTGTAAAGATGTGAGTGTGTTTGTAGTATAGAAGTTGCCAGAAATTTCTGTAACAACATGATCGGAAGATGAAATAAAGAAGAAAATAGCACCAGAAAATCTTTAACTGAACTTCAAAGTTGCATCATTTTCTAAAACAAAATTTGGAAAAAAAAAACATAAATTGGTTGAAGTGAAGTTCAGAAAACCAAGGAGAAACACAGTGAACACTAAAATTTCTAAAACTAAGCCAAATGGATGTGAACAAACTAATAAGTATATCCTTAATCACAACATATAATTTTTGGCTGATGGGAAGAAGATTGGTAAAATGAGTTAAAGTTAGTAGATAAAAAGTATTTCAAAACCTAAACCTTGATCATACTCGAGAGAGAGAGAGAGGGGGGATATGATATTAATTTGACTAACAATTAATAAATACCTAGAAACTTCATCCCACAAGGGACCCTTCTGATTAGCCTCTTTGAACTTGGAATCAAGGTTGGATCTGATCTCAAGAAGTGTGAGTGTCTCTTGTCTAGGCCACCTTCCAGTCCCACCATCTCCTCCCAGACCACCACCCTCCATATTCTCTAACCCATTCAAAGTACTATTAGTAGATGTAGTGGTGGTAGTAGTTGACTCCGACCGAAACTGATCACGAAGCACCACCGGAGGGACGACCATTTCACGACCCACCTGACGACCCGGACCCATCATCACCATCTCATACTGTTGTGCTTGTGTCAGATTTCGATGGCCTGAGAAGAGCTCCCCGGTTGATTGGATTGCCGGAAAATTTGCTGGCCTCCCGTCTGTGAACTGCCTGAAATCCGCCATTCCATACTGGTCTTCCATTTCCATGGATTTTTATATAATATATATATTTCTCACCGATAAAGCCTGCCTTTAGAGAGAGAGAGATAGGGATAGTATGGTGTGAGAGAAAGGGGGTGGGGGGGGGGGGGGGGCAACGGTGAAAGGAGCGGCAGATTCGGATCGTGTCGTCCACGAAAAAGCTTTGAATTTAAGCAGAGGTGAGAGGACCCATGTCTCTCTCTTTCGACTAGTGTAAATAAAGATCTCTTTCTCTCTCTATATGTATATTATGTATATACTACTACTATCATTCATCCATCAAGTCCCGGTTTCTCTCTCTATGTATTGCTCGTTTGCGACAGTGGACGGTGGAGGGAGAGGAGGAACAAACAAACTATTTGCCAATAAAGAGAGGACAAGTGTCGTAACATGATTGCTTTAGTGGGGTACAGACGAGCTGTGATTCACTGCCTCCTTTCTTGCTTACGCTTCTACAGTGCTTAGGATCCTGCCTTTTGACTGTTCGTTCTCTCTCTCTATGTATGTACATGTGTGTGTATATATACACACACGCACAAGATATATAAGCGACAACTGAAACCATCTCTTTATCTCTCTCTCTACCAAGTCAGCTTAATTGTGACAAGGTGTCTGTACTGTAGAGGAATTCAAATTCAGATATTGTTGGCTTCTTCTTAGTCCTGTCTCTTCAATTAAATTCAATACAATATATATGCATTAATTCCACTAGCTAGCTTGTTTGTGTATTATTGAGTTATATCAGCATCAATGCATCATTAGTATTAGTAACACAATCATAAGCTTACTAACACTAACTAACTTATTAATTCTTCTTCAAAATCATTTATTTTAGCCTATCAATCTTAATTATATAATTACAAAAAGAGTCAAGGTACGCCCAAATACTAAGCAAGCCCACACTATATGTAGATAATTAACAAATAATAATACTAATTAAAGCTCTTTGATCTCTTGCAAATAATTACTAGCTTGCTCTATTTTTCCTTTTTCTGAAAGTTACAATTACTTGTTCCATGATTCTCTATCAATTATCATATACGTACATCAGTAGTACGTACTGTGAATCATGAAATTAATGGTGATATATATAATTAAAATATGTCAGCTCATTTTAAGGATGCACAAGTAAATGGTAGAGATAAAACATTTCGCAATTGTTTCGATCACCATATCTATCTATATATATATATATATATACGGTTGAATTTTTTAGCTCTCTACTGACCAGAATTTCAAGTATTTCAGTACTGAAGGCACAACAAAAAGCAAAACAGATCATTTACGCTATATAATTAAGAAAAGAAAAAGAAAAAGAAGACGAGTGGAAAAAGGAAGCCTAAAGTAACAACAATTGTCACACTCACCAAACATACAAGTACAACTATTGAGAAAATTTATGGAATCAATTGATGGAAAATTTTATTTTCAACTACCACTACTGCTTTGAGAAGAAAAAAAATCCATAGAGTTTCTTATCCATTCAACAGTCTTCGTCAGCTTCATTTTTCTTGCACTTTATATATATATATGGCACCCGATATATACATTATAAATATGTATTTATAGAGTTACATATATGCTCTAGGGATGTACATGGTTCAATTCGGTATATATTTTTAAATTGGACCCAAACTGATTCTAATGGTTTCTAAAAAATTGAAATTGGAATCAAAACCGTTGAGACTTAGAACCGAAGTTACCAAACCAAACGGAATTGTGAATTTGGCTTCTCAAAGCAAATACAAGTTTATACAACAAATGTACAATAATTAATAAACCTCTTGTTGTAATGGAGAACAATAAGCCTGACCGAGAAATAAAATATATTTGTAGAAAAATAATCAAAGAGAACACCATTTGAGAATACTCAAAATCAATCTGAGAGAGTCCAGGATTGAACGCCTGCAGTAGAGCAGCCCTGCAGGAAAAGATGATGGAGATCCTCCATGCCTCCAAGGCGACTAAGATCAGACCCCTTCGTCAATTTGATAGAAGCAAGTATGTTTATGATGCAGCTCTTGATTAACATGATGATATGCTGAGAGGATGAAGTCTAGCTTGTTCTTGAGAGCAGTTTTATTTTTTGTAATAAATGTTATGTTGTTGTTTATTAATATTGTAATATATGTAAATATAATATATATTTAGTTAACGCTTCGGTTTTGTTTTCGGTAGACAAAGAATTGGAACTAGAACTGTAAACTAAGGTTACTCATTTTGGAACTGGAATTGAAACCAAATCATAAAAGAACCGAACCAAAATGATGATTCAATACAGCATTTTACTGATTTCACAATTCCAACGATTCTTTATGCACCCCTAATATGCTCCCTCTAATATATTCATGCGAAAAATTCTTTTGATGTCATTGTTTTTTCTTCTCTCATTAATTATAATCTTTGCATGCTTCTTTTCCAAAGAATATATGTATTTTCCCCTGAAATTATATCTGCATGATGTTGAACATGTAATTGTGGCACATATATATATATATATATGCTTTAAAAACTATAATTAAGACAAGGGACTCAAATTGACTTCTTATCTGCCTAACCTTAATAGAACCAATTCAACAGTCATAGAAGTGTGTATTACAGGTCCAGACAACATTAATTCAGTGACTTCTAGAATCGGATTGTCTCATTCAAAAAGGGTGAAGTTTAACGCCTAAAAAGTTTGATTTATTTAGCAATCGAGAAAATCAGTTTCTGAAAGAATAAAGCTGTATACGTTGATGATTACAATTAGTCCAATTTTGCAAATGCATCCATTATTTGCTCCCTTCTGCGTAGGTACAAGAGAAATTTCTACTTCCAAACATTAATTTTCTGAATTACCAAACACAAAGGTTTGGAGAGCAAATCAACCTCTTCTTTCATCACTCATATCGAAATTCTAGAGTTCAAAGTTCCATGGCAATAACACTTCCACAATTAGCGGAGACAAAGATAATAGCATCAAGCAACGCCACACAATCCACCTCTAGCTACCGATCTAGATTGTCTCTAGTACACTTATACATTTATCTTAATCAAAGGCTGTGATCTAATGGTACTTCATCACCTTCTGAAATAAAAGATCGAGGGCGCAAATTAATGTACGGAGAAGTGAGTATGTTTCTAGTCAATGAATCAATAATAATAATAATAATAATATAGTAAAATAAAAATAATCCTTTTGGTTTAATTCCAAATTTGGTGTGTGACAGACTCCAATGACACACGATCAAAAGAACCTTGAAATTAAGGCTTTTCTTGGTATACATTAATAGAAATTGATCTGTCAATCTGACACCGTATTAATATGCCAAATCAACACTGACAAAGGCTGGTTGCAGCCATGGCCAACCTATATAGATATTTTGGTATGGAGTTGAAACAACAGACAAAATGAATCGACATCAATAATTGAACAATGGCATTATATATATATATATATATATATATATATGTATGTATGTATCATTAAGTAGTTGGTATCAGAGACATATATGTAAATTCTGGAACCTCCTAATCGCCGTCCGTTTGTTTGAAATTGAAAAGCACACAACTATCATTTATGATCAGCCCCATGTGCTCACAACGCAAATACCGACACACTGTACCTAACGGACCTTGTCCATTTAACGCAGCTTCAGTAAATTCATGTCGTATAAAATAAGAGAGCATAGTCTATGCGGCTACTCAACTCCACTTTATTTCAGAGATAATTGCTTTGATTGTTTTAACATGTTGTATAGTGAATATAACATTCTTGAGTTCAAAAATCACCCCTATTGTTTGAACATTTCACTATTTCAGGCATAATTGCTTTGATATATTTTTGTCATATTTTCATGTTTATCTGCACGTGTGAATGTTTTGTAAATATATATATATATATATATATATATATATATATTTTTTTTTTCCTACCAAACCAAAGCAACGATATATTAAGAATTTTGTAAATGGTAGTATATGATTTGGTTAATTATGATATCAAACTTAGGTTTTGATTCATGTGGTCACTTATTGTTCAAAGTTCAAACCCAATTGTGACATGAAACCCCCTCATTGAGGGAATGAACTGTGTGGGAAATAACTCTAATCTGCCAAGGAAATTTGATAGGCTAGCTACTATCTGCAAGTGAACTTTTTGATGATGAATTTCTGATACCAAGCTCCACGCAAATAATACGTTTAGCAAAAATATAATCTTCTGATACCAGGGTGACTTCTGAATAGCAAATTTGAATGACTCCAATCACAAAATCAATATACACTTTCTTTTAAGTGAAATTCTTCCCCTTGTTAGAAAGCCAGTGCAACAATCTGTTGTTGTTGTAGTTCAACATTCTACAATTCAATATTGTAACCTATGTAACACAGCTTTTGATAAAGAATACCTAAATTTCTTTGTTATTTTTCTCTAATTCGATCTATCAATTTCAATTCCATACAACCGAATGCACCCTAAGTAAAATTCTTCCCCTTGTGAGAAAGCCAGTGCAACAATCTGTTATTAATGTAATTCAACAACATTCCACAATTGATTATTGTAACATAGAATATTTGTAATACGGTACGTCTTTGATAATTAATACCCATTTTATTTTATTTTTTTGAAAGGCAAAGTATACCCAAATTGATATTAAAGACATGAAAGAAAAAGAGTTCTGAACATATTTAGGATTTGAAAACAACAAAATGATTTAGAAGGGGAAGGAATCTGTTAAAAAAACTTGAATAGTTGTTCACCTTTAGTATTTAGAAATGATTGTGTAATTTTTTTGTAGCAAAACATAAGCCATTAAGTATAGTAGTGTCTTTCCTGAAAATACACCTTTTTCGAATTCAAACACCTATATATATAAGAGAAAAATAATGGATTTCTCAAGCCCCATGTGGATACAATTAAAAACTGCATGAGTTAATGTGGAATCTTGTTTTTCCTGCCCTTCAAACTTATAGGTTCCTGTAACTCGACCCCCCACTCTAAATTTTGCCACCAAAAATCTCAATGCCTCTCTGTTTTAGTACAAGATGACAGGGAAAGAGAGAGAGAGAGAGTGAGAGAGAGAGAGAAATAGAGAGAGAAATAGAAAGAGGAAGAGAGAGAGAGAGA